TTAAATTTTATTTTAATGAGGTCAAACTTACCAATTGTTCCTTTCAAAGATCTTGCTTTTGGTGTCAAGTATAAGAACCCTTCAACTAGTACTAGATTCAAAAGATATTAGCTTTTTGTAAAAGTTTTATAGCTTTACATTTTATGTTTTAGCTAGTTTTTCATTTTGAGTTAATTATTATATAAGATAAGAGGTTTAAGTCTACCATTGTTTTGGCAGTGTAATATCCAATTCCTTCAGCATCATTGGTTGAAAAGGCTATCCTTTCTTCATTGAATTGTTTTTGAACTGTCAAAAATCAGTTTAACATATTTGTGTGAGTCAAGTTCTGGGTTCTCTCTTCTGTGTCATCATCTATATGTTTATTGCTCTGTAAACACTGCACTTTCTTGATTACTGTAGTTAAGCAGTAAGCCTTAACATCCAGTGGAATGATTCTTTGTACAATATACTTTTCTTTTAAAATTATTTTAGCTATTCTAGATATTGTGTTTTTCCATATAAATTTAAGAAGAATCTTATGTTTTTCTATGAATAACTTTGCTCAAGTTTTCCTAGAAATTGCATTAAACTTATGGATCACTTTGGAGAGAATTAATATCTTTACTATGCTGAGTTTCCAAAGCCATGAACATGGTATGTCCTTCCATTTAGTTAGGTCTTCTTTAATCTCTGGTATTACCATTTTTAATTTTCAGTATACAGATCCTGTACATGTTTTGGTAGATCTATAGCTAAGAATTTCACTTCCTTTAAGGCAATTGCAAATGTTAGCTCTTTTGTTGTCTCACAAGTTCCTGAGACTGTTTGTGTGTTTTTTTTCCCCTCAGTCTGTTTCTCTTTGTTGTTCACATGGGGTAAATTTTATTTTTCTGGCCTCAAATGTGCTAGTTCTATCTTCTGCCATGTCATCTCTTGATCCCATCCTAGGAGACTTACTTTATTTTACTTTTCAATTCTAAAATTTCCATTTGGTAAGTGTCTTGTCACATTCAAGTTGATTTCCCTTGTTCTTTGCATGACTTTTGATTTTTATTGTATCATTGTCATTTCTGATATTATTTTATGAGACTCCATATTCTATTTAATATGTTTTTATCAGGCATACCCTTTGTTGATATGTAGCTGGAGGATTTGGTACATGTGCATGTTAGACTTCTTATAGAATCTTTAGAGACCACTTTTGCAAAAGTGGAGAACTGATTCACACTGCTACATTGCACATGGGTGGGATGGATATAAGATTAGCACTTTTCTCAAATCAGCAAATTTCTTCATGGTGAAAGTGGAGTACTGACTCATGCAACCTCATTGCCTCCAGTGGAGATGGAGGCTTATCTGCTACTCGGCCTGACACCAAAGTTGTAGGGAAAGTTGAATATCACGCAGTTCCATCTTGTTTCCCTCATTCAGTCTCACTGATGGTGGATGGCGATAAAAGCTCAGCTCATCACTGGGTTTCACTGACAGCAATGATGTAGGGAAACAGAGTGCTGACTAACCCTGCCTCACTTTACTCTCATTGATGCTGTGTTGATATGGGAAGCGTGGGTGAAGAAAAGTTATAGAATAGAGATCACTACCAGTACCTTATACCACCGGATGACTGTGGAGGAACAACTCACCGTTAAATTTCCCTGACACTTCTTTGGCAAAAGAATCAGAGCACCATGCTGCTTGCTTCTTATGAGGGATGAATGGAAGATCAGCTCTGTGTTCAACGCTACCTATACTACTATTCTGACAGGAAAACATTTTCTGCTTAAGGAAGGCACTGCCTGCTTCTGCCAGCAGGGACATGGAAGATCAGGTCTCTTTTGGTCCTGCCAACACTACACTGTCAGAGGAATTGGAACATTATCTGCTTCCAAGCAGCAGTGGATGTAAGATCAATTTCCTGAATTTAAGGCTGTTGACTAGCCTTATTTCCCACCACAAACCACATCCCTTATTCCTTAGCCTGGCAAATTCTGTGCTCCAGCCACAAGCTCCTGACCAGTTTTTCACATATCCTATATCCATCCATCCCTCTGTGCTTTTCCTCCAGCTGTTTTCTGCTTAGACTGAAAAGGCCTCACTATTCTACCACCTTCTGAATGTCTTCCTTTTGTTCTCTTAGACTTTCAAGTTGTCTTTTCCAATTTTCCCAGGCATAACAAATCACTACTTCCTTTCGGTCTCCAGTGCTTAATTCGTACTTCTCAGCATGTATTTATAATTTGCCTCATACAATGGAATTAACAACATTTATGCTTATTTCCACCACCCTTCCAGTTATAAATTAACACTGTATCTCCCAGGCTTATTTTAAATAATTTTTTATTTATCCAGAATTTGAGCTTCCAGAAACTTGTAACATTTGAATGACTGCTCTGAAAATGGCTATAAGGGAAAAACCTTGCCAAAGTACCTCTTTGATTCACACTCAGGCCCTGACTAAGACGACTTGAGTATAAAATAGAGCATAAATTTAGAGGTGGGGCACTAGCTTTGTGGTTTGTACACAGACCTGGTAAGAGAAAAGAGCTTGGTTAGGAGACTACAAGAACCTACCATGAGCCAGTTCATGTGCTAAGAAATTCACTTGTTTTTATCTCATTTAATCTCACAGCTAACCTTTGAGGTAGATATTATTATACATATATTGCAGGTTTATGGTGTTCTCCTAGTCATTTTCAGATTTATGGACACATATTTGCAGGGTCAGTGATCTGGATGCTTTGAAAGTATAAAACAAAGCTGCCGTGGGAGATAGATTTTTAAGTCACCAGGACTCCAATCTTCAGAGGCTTGTGTAAGATTACTTATTTCATTAGGGAGAATTTCTTTGGCTTGGAGCAAGGCAGCTGAAACCACTTATTTATTCATTTAACAAATATTCATTGAGTACCTATTCTGTGTAAGGCACTTGAGTTACAAGATAAAAAGCTTTTCTCAAATGGGTTTATAGTCTAGTGGGCAGACATACAAAGTAAACATTATATCATAGTGTGGTAAGGCCCACTGAATCCATACTGTTAGGGAATGATCTAAACATCAAAATCATAGTTTTAGAAAAGAAAGAATATTAAAAATTCTTTTATGTTTCCTCAGGCTGCTTTGTGGGGCGGTGAGAGCAAGGATTCTATTAAAGTATACAACCAAAGAGCTTGAGTAAATTGTTTTCCCTGCCTTTGTGTGGCCTATGGGTGGTCTCTCACCTGTCAACTGTTCTAAACAAAAAGAACTTGGCACATCTTGGTCTGGGGGATTACCTGGGGAAATTATTTGTTAAGCTTAATGACATGACATTTACACATACCTTCTGACTTTTACTATGTAGGTCATATATATGTGTAGCTATGTACACACCACCATGCCATTCTAAAAAGTTTGGAAATATCTTTTAGTGTATATAGTTTTCTTGTTTCCTTGAAATGAATTTCTTTCATTATAATATTGGAGAGTTATCTCATCTATAAAGATAAGATGGACTGGGAAATATGGGGAATTGGGGGATAAACACATATTCTGCCCAATCAGCTATCAAATAGTAGGAGGACTAAGTTTTTCTCTCCCTGTCTTGAAGGGTAGTGAAATGTGGAGATAGTCAGTATTGCTGCCTTGCAGCTCTCTTCCTTGCTTTCCTATAATTCTCTATATATTAATTGCCTTTTGTACCCATGATGATATGCTGTCTTCCCTTCTCACCAGTGAAGGGTGGAGGAATGAGAATGAGGGAGCCTAGACTTCCCTGGTTTGTATTGCCATCTTATAAAGTAGAATATATGAATTAAAGTTTTACAGACTTTCCCATTTAATTCTCCTAACAGCCCTGTGACTTGAGGTAAGGAAATTATGGGCACTTTGCTATTTCTCAGATTTCCCATATGAGAATGTATTATATTTATAATCAGAAAAACAGCAAATATTTATGACAAAAAACCCTTTATTTTTTAACTCTAAAAAATTGGGGCCCCAATTTTTATTCAATATCCTGCTTTTTCACACACCATTCTTATCCCATATGAAGACTTCCATGTCATTAAGTATTGTTTGAAAATATGGTTTATGCTAGCTCAATAGATTCATATGTGAATGTAAACTAGTTTAATTATCTATTCTGTCATAGACCATTAATGGACCATCCATACAAAAGAACATTACAGAAACATTAAAAATCACATTTTCAGAGTATTTAACAACTTGTGAAAATGCTCATGATATAAATGGACCCCCCCCACAAGCTATAAAGTTATAAAATCTGCTCCCAACTTTGTGAAATATAAACATAGATTTATTAATGAAATATAAATTGTAACAACATTTTGTGTATGTCTAGATGGTAAGATTAAGGATATTGGGGCTAGTTCTGTCTTTTATTTTACTGAATTGTAGAAAAGCTCCACAATTTCAGTACATTTCTTTTACATTCAGGAAAAACAAAACAAAACAAAAAACACGATTATTAAAAAAGCATTACGGAATGATCAGATAGAAAATATAAAGGAGAGTTTGGTTCAAGATGGTGGACTGTACACAGGCTTTTCCTTCTCCAGTCTCATATCCCTTTAACTGAAAGAAAATAATTTGTATGTACAAACTCTGTGTGTGTGTATTTAATATTATTATTTTTTTTTAAATAAAGGCTTTGTAAGGAATTCCTGGAAGATAGAAAGCAGATGGTGCTGCTGTGAGGGAGGCTGGCGGACGACAGGCTGCCAAAGAAAAGGAGGAGGGGAGCGGGCCAGTCTGGCTCCGGTTTGAGGGAAGCAGTCGGGGGGCGCGTTAGGAAATGAAGGAGTGAGCGCCTGTAACTCTGTGGACTGTACCCCCATACGCGCACTGACCCGCCCAGCTGCTGCCCCTGCTGCTGCCCCTGCTGCTGCGAGCCGAGCGGAAGGGGGAATGGCGGGGGGCGGGGCCGAGGCACAGGCGGGCTCAGAGGGGTCGGGTTCCCAAAGCGGCAAAAGCCCTGGCGCCAGATCTAGGCCGAGCATTGCTGCGCTGCGAAGCTGAGGCCGCTCGGGCTCGTCAGAGACCCGCCGCCGCCAGCCATCCTTCTTATCCCTTGCCTGCCTGTCCGGTGGTCTCCTTCTCCATCGCCGTTTCACAGCCGCAGCACCATCGATAAAAGCTAAGTGGTCATTTTGGGACTCGGGGTTGGGAGTCTGGGCGGGAGCAAGGCGCCGGCGGCACAAGCTAGCGCGCCATCTCCTGCGGCAACTGCCGCTGCTGCAGACACCCCTCCTGGGCGGGAGAGAACACTATTAAGAGGCCCAGCGGTCCCAGCACCCAAGCTTAGAGTTAGAGCGTTTCTACCAAGCTTTGGTGAGATCTTTGTGCTTGGTGAAGGGAGACTCCGAGATCACGGAAAAATATCTCATATTGGATAGCACTGACTTTTCCTCAGCTTAATAGGGCAAGCGGCAGCTTTACCAAAGCTTCCTTAAACTCCTAACCATGTCGCCCCCAACTGTGCCTCCAATGGGTGTAGATGGCGTGTCCGCATACCTGATGAAGAAAAGGCACACTCACAGAAAGCAGCGGCGCAAGCCCACTTTCCTCACTCGTAGGAACATCGTGGGCTGCCGCATTCAACACGGCTGGAAAGAAGGCAATGAGCCGGTGGAGCAATGGAAAGGCACAGTGCTGGAGCAGGTTTCTGTGAAGCCCACTCTCTACATCATCAAATATGATGGCAAAGATAGTGTGTATGGACTAGAACTGCACCGAGATAAGAGAGTTTTAGCGCTAGAAATCCTTCCCGAGAGAGTGCCAACTCCTCGCATTGATTCACGTCTCGCAGATTCCCTGATTGGCAAGGCAGTGGGGCATGTGTTTGAGGGGGAGCACGGCAGGAAAGATGAATGGAAGGGCATGGTCCTGGCGCGAGCCCCCGTGATGGACACTTGGTTTTACATCACCTATGAGAAAGATCCGGTTCTTTATATGTACACGCTGCTGGATGACTACAAAGATGGTGACCTGCGTATCATTCCAGATTCCAACTACTATTTCCCTACAGCAGAACGGGAGCCTGGAGAAGTGATCGACAGCCTCGTGGGCAAGCAGGTGGAACACGCCAAAGATGATGGGTCTAAGAGAACCGGCATTTTCATCCATCAAGTGGTGGCCAAGCCGTCTGTCTACTTCATTAAGTTTGATGATGATATTCATATTTATGTCTATGGTTTGGTGAAAACTCCCTAAATTTATCGTGCTTTTGCAAAATGTGTGGAACTATTCAATGTAAAATATGTCGTGTTCTTGTAATTGTGAACTTTTGAGAACAGTTTTGGTGTCAGAGATTCAGGAATTTATTATTACTTACTACTTATTGTGCCTCTAAATCTTATACATTCACTAGTTCCACAGTTTTGCCCAAGTGTACTTTGGTATGTATGATATTGCCTTGTTCTGTAACTGAAAAATTTTAAGTGGGTGCTAATAGAAAAATTGAAAAGTCTTTATTACTATTAGAACAATGAAAAACTAAAGAAAAATTAATGGTGTGACCCCACACCATATCCTTCCCCCCTTTCCCTTACCTTCTCTCTTTCTTCTCCTCAGATAACAAGTGTTAAGAACATGATGAAGATCCTACGTTTTTTTCAATCCTTTCCCAAAAAGTTTGTTGCAGTTGTTTCTGTAAAAAATGACAAGCCGCATCATTTCTCTGTCATTGCTTTTCTCACTTGGCATTCATGAAATTCCTTCTGATCAGTAGATGCAGATATCTCTCCCTCTCCCTCCCTCTCTCTATCCTTTTTCTTCCCCTCCCCTACCTCCCCTGAATTTATTTTTGTATATAATATTAAGATACAGATCCCTTTATACATTTTGTTCACATTGGATACCTGATCATGCCATCGCATTTATTAAGTACCTCAACCATTTCCCTCCCACTCTGGAATTTGTTTTTGCATGTGGTATAAAATTGAGATTTAAGTATACATTTTATTCAAGTTGGATACCCAATTGTGTCATCACATTTATTAAATAAATCATCTATTCTCTCTCTCTCTCTTTCTCTCTCTCTCTATCTCTGTCTCTCTCTGTCTCTCTCTCTCTTCCTGCTTCCAACAGCTGCATACACAATATATATTTATGTACTAAAATGATATTTAACTGCTCAATACATACTGGTGCTTTTATTTCTATAGGGTAGATTCCTAGAAATGGGATTGCTAGGTAGGCTGATAATTAAATTTAAAAGGCATTGCAAAATTACTATTTAAAATGAAGGTTCTCATTTTCCAGCATCCTCTCCAGCACTCTTTAATTTTTGCAAATCTGAAAGGTGAAAATTTGTTGTATTGTCTCTTTAATTGGCAAACTCAGTGAGGTTTTTTATTTGTTTTAGGGGGTTTGTTTGTTTTGCCTTTTGGACTTTTATCTTTTGTGATTTGCCAGTATTTACCTTATGTTCATTTATCTATTGAATCTTTGATCTTTTCCTTATAAATTTGTAATAATTCTTACTATATTTGCTATATGGTGCATATTAATAATTTGTAGCCCATATGTGTTATGATTTTTTGCATCCTATCATTAATCTTGACTTTATTGATGGCATCTTTTACTTTACAGTTTTTAAAAAAATTTTAGATAGACTACTTTCTCCTTTTTAGATTTTTTTTTGTCTTTTTCAGATAAATGTCTCAACCCCAAGTCATACAAATATACACCTGCATTTTTTTTTCTAAAAAGTTGAGGTTACAATATTTCATCCAACTGGAAATTATTTTGTAGATGGTATAAAATAGATGTCCAACTATACATTTTGTTTACATTGGATATCTGATTATGCTATCACATTTATTAAATAAATCACCCATTTTCAAGTTTTTGAGCCAAGTCACATTATTTTAACTATAGTGGCTTAATCTTAAATTTTGGACTCTGGTAAAGCAAGTTACCTTTCATTAGTGTTTTTTTTTCTTCTTTTTTTATATAACTTGTCTTAGACATTCATTCTTTCATATGAAAATTAAAAGCATTCTTTCCACATTTTTATATATATTTAGAGGAATATGTTAATAATATTAATCCTAACATTCAAGAGTTTGGATTCATCATTAAAATCTTTTGTTTTTGTAATGTTATTCATCTAGGTTCAACATATCAGATTAAATTTATTTCTAAATATTTTTACAGTTTTTGTTACATTTTGACATTCTGAATGGAGTATTTACTCCTGCTTATTTGTAACTTGTTATTTTTACCAATATAGACAAACTATGGATTTTTTTTTTTTTTACTTTCTGTTTAATCAGCTTACTAAATCTTGTAAATTACACTGGGTTTTTAAAATAGAATATTTTTTACTTTCTAGATGTACAATCATTTCACCTGCAAAGAGGTAATTTTATTTTTCTAATGTTTACATTAATTATTATTACATTTACTGGATTCTCTAAAACAGTGTTGAATAATGATCATGGTAGGCATGCTTGTCTGGTTCTTTATTTTTATGGAATTGTTTTTAGTATTCCTTATTAATATGACATTTGTTTTTGTCATTAACTATTAACATGTTTAGGGACTTTCTTCTCTTCGTGTTTTATATAACATTATTACTAAAACTGGCTCATGAATTTTATCAAATGTCTTTTCAGCATCTATTGATAAAATTTTAAGATTTCCCCCTTAAATTTGTTGACATATTGAATTAAAGTGACAGGAATTTGATGTTGAATCAAAATTCTATTTCTGGAATAAATTCTACATGCTCATGCACAGTGTAATAATCATATGATATATTGCTGGTTCTTATTTAGAATTATTGCATTTGCATTTCAAAGTGAAATTGTGTTTGTCTGCACTGTCTTAGGTTTTTAAATTAAAATTGTGCTAGCTTAGAAAATTAATTGGTGAGTTTTTAATATTTTTCTGTTGTCTGGAATAGTTTAAATAACATTAGAATTATTTGTTCTTTAAAAATTAGCTAGTCCTAAGTTGTAAAACAATCTAAGCCCAGTGACACTTTTGATGGTAGATCTTTAATCAACTTTCTTAATTCTTCAGTGGTAATTTGTTTATTCAAGCTTTCTATTAAAACAGAATGTATATTCTCTGTGAAATACAAAGTTTAAAATTTTACCTATCCTCATGCTTCTTGATTGTGTTATTCAGATATTTTATGTACTTGAGTTTTGTATATGCACATGTCCTAGATATGTTCAATTCTGAAAACATTGTAATAAAGTCATAAGCTATCACGGTGTTTTAAATTCTTGTATTTTATTTTAAAAAATTAAAACAATATGAAAAGTATAAAATATATAACAAGCATTTGTTTACCTTCATCTAAAATTAACAAATGTCAACATTTTGGCATATTTTTTTTAGATATAGATATATCTTTTTAAAGAAAGAGTTACAGCCTGGCCAGTGTTGCTCAGAGGTTGAGCATCCACCTATGTGATTCAGGAGATCATGGTTTGATTCCTGGTCAGGGCACATGCCCAGGTTAAGGGCTTGATCCCCAGCAGGGGGCCTGCAGGAGTCAGCCTATCAATGACTCTCTCATCATTAATGTTTCCATCTCTCTCTCTCCCTCTCTCTTCCTCTCTCTGAAATCAATAAAGATATTTAAAAAAAACAAAAAAACAAAACCATAAGCATTACAAATAATAAATGCCTTTCCCAATACCATAATGTTTCCTTCCTCTACAGAGGCAGACACTATAATGAATTTGGTGCAAATTTTGTTTTATATATTTACTGCAAAAATAGCAATAATCAGTAATAGTATATATTTTTGTGGGGTTTTTCATTTCAAAATGCATAGTACACTTTAAACCATGTGGAAGTTATTTTTCTTGTAGGGATCATCTTTTTATCCAATTGGGAAATTGATTGCAGCAACAAAAACAATAATACTGACTTTAGAATACCAATTTCTTTTTTAGGTACTTTTACCACTCCTGACACTCTGGAAGACTAAGCCTTAGCCATAGCCCTGGCAATTGACTAACAAGACAAAATTGCAACTCAAATGCAGATTGTATCTTGGCTGTAGTAAGGCAGTTATCCACCACTCACTCTGATAGAAAGACCAGAACTAGGTCTTATATTTCCTCATGATAATATTAAGGTTATCCCACATCCTGAAATTCAGATTTAGTCTGGCCCTAATGTAGCACTGTTTTAAGAGTGTGGGACGCGATGGTGGACAAAACAAAAATCTTTCTTTCTTAACACGTTTTGTTGTTTTTTTAATCCTTCAAGTAGTCTTCAGACCAATAACAAAGATATAAGGTAGGTGTAAAGTCTACAAAACAGCCCTGGCCAAACCTGCTCAGTGGTTAGAGTGTCGGTCCATGAACCAAAGGGTCTCAGGTTTCATTCTCGGTCAAGGGCACATACCTTGGTCGCAAGCTCGATCCCAGCCCCAGTCAGGGTGCTTGCAGGAGGCAACCAATCTGCGTGTCTCTCTCATATCGATGTTTCTCTCTCTCTACCCCCTTCCTCCCTTCCTTCCACTCTCTCTAAAAATCAATGGAAAAATGTCCTCGAGTAAGGATTAAACAAAAAAGCCTACAAACAAAACAAGGTAAAAAGAATGTGAGCTACCCTTTAAAGGGTTAGAGTGGTGCAACGTATGGGGAGGACACTCTAACCAACTGAACTACCCAGCCCGGGCAAGTTGGGAGGGTCTATGGGAGGAACTAAGGTTTATAAAAGTGCTCCCGCTCTATGTAATGTAATCACAAGAACTTTACACAGGAAGAACTCTATGTCTATAATAAAGCTTTACGGTTCTAACTTCCCCTTCCCTTAACTTCCCTTTCCTTTATCAAAATACTCCTCCATCTTGGCATGCAAGACAGAGTGTGCATGTCGCTTACCATGTTTGCATGTACTGGGTTGCAAAGCTGCTTTCTTTTTCCCGAATAAATCATTTTTGGTGAAAACACACAGTCAACGTTATTTTTCTTTTTCTGGATGTTATTTTTCAGTCGATACTAACAAATTGTGGGATATTTCCAAATCACTAGGGGGGAATGTAAGGCTTGGTTGTAAGAGAGGCTCTCTTCCTCCTCCCATTAGGATATATGCTCCTAGAGAGCAGGGATTTTGTCTAGATTTTTCACTTCTATCTCCAGATCTTAGGCCACAACTGAGCCTCTCTTTTATTGTATGTTAATAACCTAATGTCACCAGGAAACAACATAAAACAATCCTGACTTGGGGCCTATTGGGAGAGCAGAAACTAGAAAACATTATTGTATATCTAAAATGTGTACAGATTTATATTTTTTGTTGGAGTGCACTGTAAAAAGATTCCTCTACCAGACTATGATTATTTTCATTAAAAACAATTAAGACTTTATAATATTGAAATATGTCTCCTTTTACCAGCTGTGGATCAAAAGAAGCAAGAGCCAAATGAATGGGATGCCCTGTAATTAGCTCAATAAGTGAAAGCTTAGGAGTCCCAAAAGAGGTAGATCTGAGATTTAAAAGTAATAAGGGCAATGCTTTTGGCCAGGTATTTGAAGAGTTTCTACAAATTTTGCTATTTGAATCTTTGTTTTGTTTTTACATTCAGGGAGTTTATTGGGGGATATTTCAGGATCACCCTTTGGGTGTGTTGTGAGAAGAGCAGTGAAAAAAGCTGATTGGGCATAAAGAGAAGTTGAATTGCAATGCGGGTACAACAAAAGCCTCCACCAATTCCATAGGGAGCTACAGAGCTGGGATGGGTTTTCATAGTTGTCCTAATTGAAGCAAAAATCCTGGGCCTTTGCCTGGCCAGGCGTGGTTCAGAGGTTGAGCATCAACCTAGGGTTCAGGAGATTGTGATTCAATTCCGGGTCCAGGCACATCCAGGGTTGCGGGCTCCATCCCCAGTCTGGGGCATGCAGGAGGCAGCTGATCAATGACAACTCTCTCATCATTGATGTTTCTATCTTTTTATCCCTCTCCCTTCTCTCAGAAATCAATAAATATATACTTTTAAAAAAAGAAAGAATCTTGAGCCTTTGTATACTGGCATCAAAATCATTGGATGAAGGCTATGCCTGTGGAAGGGGCATAATCTTGGGCAAGACATCTTCCTTAACCTAGGGACAATTCCTAAGAAGGACACAGCTGTGAATCTTATTATGTCATTAGTACATTAAAATTAAACTTGAAGATAGAAGATTTTTAAGCACGGTGGAAATGTTGCATAACTGGCCAAATAGCACAGACTGGTTGTAGCATTTGACTAGTAAAATGGGTTACTCAATCAACATAGAGTTTGAAATGAGTTTCCCGAGTAGGAATAATCTTTTCTAACAGGACTTTAGCCACTGTAGAGGCATGAGCATGTCCACAAGGGAAAGCTTTAGTCCACTGAGAAAATATACATATCATGACTAAAACATATTTATATGCGTGAAACAAGGGAAGCTGTATAAAATATATTTGCCAAACCTCACATGATCTATTAGTCAGTTTAAAATGTCCAGGGACAGGGTGAACAGGCTTCCTTGGGCTATATTTTGGACAGGTGAGACACTTAAGGTAGGAACTTTTTGTGGCCTTGTTAATATCTCTCCACCAATATTGATTCATGAATGCTATAATTTTGTCAGTGGACTGATGCTTTAATGCATGTACAGTAGTAAGGAGTGGAAATTTTAGAGTTCCTGGTAGAACTGGGTTATTATTTGGTCTAAACCAGAGCTTTGTCTTTTTATCAAACCAGCAATTGTTAGATTTCTAGTCTTTTACAGAAGCCAATTGTTGGCCAGTTTTTCTAAGCTAGCAACTGGAGAAATGTCTCTTTGGGCCAACACAGAGATTTGACTGCTGCTGATGACTTTATGGGCAGCATTCTTAGCAGAAACGTCCGCAAAGTGATTTCCTTTAGCTTCCTGGGAGTAAAGTTGAGAATGTCTTAATAATAGCTAAAGCATTAGGTAAAAGTACAGCATACAGTAATTCCTGAACATATGAACCATTCTTAATTTTATCCCCATTGAAGGTAAGAAAACCATATTGCTTCCATAACATTCCAAAGTCATGAACTACTCCAAAGGCACATCTATGTCATATAAATATTGACAGTTCTACCCTTTTAAAATTAAATAAAATTAATTTTTTCCGGTCACCATTTATCCTCTTTATGCCTTCTTCCACCTCCACCCATTCCCACCCACACCCCTCAATCACCGGACTCTTGTCCATGTCCATGCGTTCTCTCTTTTTTTTCTTTTCTTTTTTTTTTTTTTTTTTGGAGTGTGTGATAGTTTTATCCTTTGTTAAAATGCAAGCTTGAGTTAAGGTATATAATTCAACCTGCTGTGCTGAAGTGGCCAAAGGCAAAGATGCTGCCTTGACTTCAAAAGGGGTTACAACAGTATAACCAGCACAGTACTTACCATTTTTAATTTTTACATGAGCCATCTGTAAACCTTGAGAAATGAGCTTTCCCTAGAAGAGTCTCCTGCAAATCCTTGCAAAGAGTCAGGAGGTGACTTATCAATGCCAAGCAGTTATGAGATGCTTGATCAGTTTCAGAAGGGAGAAGTGTAGCTGAATTAAGATTATTACGTGAAAGAATTATATGGGAACTACTCAACAAAAAGATTTCATAGGAAGTAAGGTGACTAACTGAAAGATGCTGGATGTGATGAGAACTGAGGAGTGCTTCTACTGCATGAGGTACAAAAATGGTTAGAGGGGATCACAATTTTTTCTGTGACCTTTACCAAGAAGGCAGTAGCAGCAATGGCTCTAAGGCAAGGAAGTATCCCCAAGTCACAGGGCCCAGTTGTTGATTATAGTATCCTAGGGGACTATGTTGATCCCCATGTTTTTGATTGAATACCACAAGGGCATTCCCTTTCTTTTCATGCATGAAAAGGAAAAAAGGGAATCTGATAGTTAGTATGCCCAAGAGCAGGTGGGTTTATTAAACTCTCCTTTAAGGCTTTAAAGGCTATGTCATCCTGTTCTTCCCATAAAATTGTGTCAGCACCGCCATTCTTTAGTAAAACATATAGGGGTTTTACCATAAGAGAGAATTTGGGATCCAATTTGGGCAATAACTGACTAATCCAAAAATCCTCACAATTGGCACTTAGTTTTTGCCTTGAGAAACTTAGGACACCACAAAGCCTATCTGGATCCAGATGTAGTCCTTGTTTTGATATCATATGTCCCAAATATGAATATAATACATAGATGGCCTTCTTGTGAAAAAAACCTGAGAAGAAGAGCAAAGAAGTAAATCATT